TGTGGACTTCAACTTCCCAAACCCTAGGAGTTGAAGTCCACACATCTTAAAGTTCCCAAGGTTGAGAAACACTAACCTAGATAGTCCATCAAGAAGGGATGAGGATGAAGCTCCAATAAATAACAATACAACAACAGCTGAAGCACCAAGCCAAAACCGGCCACACTGCGAATGAGAGCAAACGCCAACATTTTTGCAGTGGGAGGAACACCAGAGATAGATGTACCAACGAAAAAGAAATGGAAGAAGTAAGAAATGACCAGAGTTTGCGATCTGAAGTTGAAATGCTTTGAAAGAAAACGTCATCTATAATACCCACAGCAGCTAGAGCCATCCCAAATATTTGGAAGTTTTAAATTTACCAGACTCGACACTGTGGACTTTGCGAGAATGCCAACAACAAAATACCTCAATTGGAAATTCCCACATAGTGCGGTGAAGCCTCCATGACTCCCAAGCTCTCGGCTGGAACTTAACCCTAACCCTAACCTCTGTGAATCACCAAATGGATTGAATTCAGTTGCGTCGCCAAGAATCCAGATGTTCTGGGTTCCACTCAGCTTCGTGGTTCCCCTCTGCTCCGTTGTAGGGAATATGAAGAAAAACATCTAAGAGAGAGAGGGCAGGAGTGGGGCAAATACGGACGGTCACTTACGGATCCATGTCAAAATAGAGTCTCTGGTTGGTGGCCACGGTTCGGGAGAGAGAGAAGACAATTTCGCCCGGCTGTCGAAGGTCCCAGCAGAGAATCTCAGAATCCTGGCGGGGAATTGCAGACGCTTAAAAGAAGAAGGGGGAACGGGCTGAACTCCATTCTCACGTTCCTAACCAGCTTTCAGATGGCCAGACAACCCAGAACTGGAGTGAAGAGAAGGAGTTCAGCCACCGTCACGCCACACCATGCGAGGCCACTCGATCCCACCCACCCTCAGGCCTTACCTTGCGGCCACCGGTGAAAAGGTAAAAGCCATCCGGCGAAAAGAGCGCGTGGGTGACGCCCCCACGGTGCCCGAGAAGCATCGCTAAGGGGTCTCCCTCTGCGCGGGAATAGAGGCCGACGGTCTTCGAGTAGGACGCGCAGGCGTACAGAGGCTGAGTTGGGCTGAAGGCAATGCAGGAGATAATTCCACTCTGGCCTTGCTTCTTTGCTAGGGAAGGGGGAAGAAAAGGGCAGGGTGAGGCCCAGCTGGTTCCTCCATTAAGACTGATGAAGCCATGGAATGGGGGCTTTCCTGTGCCCGCCCCACACCAATGTGCCAAGCAGCCGACCTGAAGCTTTCCCTAAGCCCAAAAGATTGACCAAGGTGAACATGACAGGCATTTCATGCTCCTAGTCTGAGGGTGCTTGGAGAGAAGACCCACCAAATCCCATTTTGTTTTGTTCAAACTACAGACAGCAAAGACGGTCACTCTTTAATTGCTTCCTCCTTCTGACCCCTTAAAAATAAGAATTGGTGAACAAGTTTCGGAGGCCACTGAGAAGTTGTGACCAAAGGCACTCAGTCTGTGCAGCTCCGACTGGAGGTGTATAGTTTAGATGAGTTTTAATAACAAAACTGGCATTTATTATGGATGAAGATAAGCTTTTGTCTTCCTGGCCTTTTTTATGGCACTGCTTTAAAGCGCTCCCTGATTTATAAACTGCTTTGAACATTTCCAGAGAGTTGAATTTCTGGCTATCTGGGGACCCGAAAGCACTGCAGAATATATTGCCCAAATGGGCCAAGCTCAACCGTTTTGTGGAATATTCTAATTATTGGCCATCGTTCTATTTGGATCCTTTGGGCCTTGCTTCAGTTGATAGGAGAGGAGCTTTAAAAAGGGGCATTGCCAAGGGTCCTCCGACAGCTTGGTCTACAGAACCTAAAGGAACACATCTTCCCTTACGTTCCCACCCAGTCCTGGAGGGTCTGCTCTGGGCACCCTCTTACGCTGGCACCCCTCAATTTTGGAATGCCTTCTCCTGGAAGATGGTGCCATCTTTGTTCTCCTTTTGGCCCGAGGCAAAGGGATTTTTACTCTCCCGTGCCTTCTGATCATTTTTTTATTATGATGGTTTATTTATTTATTGGATTTCTGCCCACCACGACTGAGAGAGACTTGGCAGTTTACAATATTCCCATCAAATACATTAAAACATCCACGGTCGTAAAAAGGCAAATACGACACAAGGCACTAACACATCCGCGGGGATCAACAGAAGCAAAATAAACCAGTAAACGCATGGCAACGTTTCACACCTCAGACCGTCTCCAAAACAATCCTTTTTAACAACTGGCAGGAAGCCAACAGATTTCAGGGCAGAAGGCTGTTGCGAAACACAGGCAGAGCGACCGAAAACCAAGCCTGCGAGCTTCTGCCCCCCTCACCGTGCAAAAGTGGGGAGCCATCAGGAGATTTTCCTAAGGCAGGGAGGTCAAAGCCAGTCCGAGAAAATGGTCCTAGAAGAGCATCTCTCGGTTTTTTTTCTTGCCATTTTATTATTATTTTTACTGTTCATCTAGTCGCTTAGGACATCGCTCAACCCGCTGCATGGCCCACCAGCCGTTCCATCTTGCCCAAGACTTCAGCTGCCAAGGAAGCTTCGCTTTGCTCAGGCACCCTCAGCCCAAACTAGCGCCAGCTCACCAAAAGTGGGCCTGTTCTCACACATCCGACCGGGCCGCGACGTGTCGAACACTCGCACCATCTTGTCAAACCCGCAGAAGAGCTGGGCGCCGTCTGGAGTGAAGCAGAGGGAGTGGGCGGCCGTTAACTCATCCTGCATCAAAAGACAGACAAATCTGTAGTCAAATTTTGCCTGGGGGTGGTGGAGACGAATCGTAGGGCCCCAACCTTTTCCCAGGGAGTTTTGCTTTAAACTATGTTATATTCGTTAACAGAACAAAGTACAGAGAACTTCAAATTATTAACCAGGCAATTTATGTTGGGACAAGATAAAAGCCCACGAAGCTGGGGCTCTCAGCTTCAGGCTGACTCACAAGGTGATTGTAAGGGCGAAAGGAGGCTCGGAGATCTCCACAGAACGCATCCCACACGTGGATGGGGTTGTCACGGCTGCTGCTGGCGACACTGCAAGGGGAGAGAAGGCAGTGAAAGGAAGGCCAGGGACTGGCAAAGCCCAAGGGGCACCCAGCTTCCCTCTTTCAGCACTTCAGAACTGAGCTCGGCATATTCCTCCAACAGCACCCCGCAAAGCCCGAACACAGAATCAGGCCTTGAACTCTGCAATCCCAAAGGCATTTCCTTGGGATGTGAGGGAAGGGGTGGAAAGCAGAAGGGGATGAGCAATGCCAAAATGCAAGCGTCTTCCTTCCATCACCCCCTTTCTCCCAGTGGTGGAACTGAACCCACTCAGTCTAAGAAACATTTTTAATGGGGCACCGTCCCTATCAGCTGAAATATCCTGCAATATGTCCTGCCTTCCTGCTTTGTCTGCAGCCCAAGCTTTGCGCCAACAGTTCAGGGAGGCTCTGATTTCCCTCTTTAAAACAACCCAACGCTCTGCGGGCTTCGGGAGAAAAAGCAAGGCCAGGAGAAGAACGCAGATGGCTTTACAAACAAGTCTGCGGGTCAGAAGAATTCATCAGCGGGAACCAGCAATAGTCGTAGATGGTATCTCCTTCCGCCATGCGCAGGACGGGGCTCTGTGGAGGAGAGAGGAGACCCATGGGCCTGGAGCACAACAGCCTGACTGCTGAGGTCGTCCTCACACCACAAAGGTGCCACACTCTTGCCTACGTTCTTCTAAAAGGAGATGTCTTTATTCATCTAGACCAGCGTTTCTCAACCTCAGCAACTTTAAGATGCTGAGGTCGAAAAATCTCAAGAAAGAAACCCTGAGTTTACTTCGGACAAGAAGCCACATTTCCACCTATGGTTTGTTACTGGTTTACAAATCCAGGCCTCTTTTAACTCCGGCTTAAAATGCGAGCTTTGGTTATGCGCCTTGAAGCAGAAGTACTGTATCCTGGTTTGCTTTTCAGCCCTACCCATTTTTCAGGGTTTCAGCAAAAGTGGGGGAGAAAAAGCTGCTCTTAATGGTCTGCAAGACAGGCTCTGCCTTGTTGGACAAGATGCAGTAAATCCAAATCCTAGCTTAGCTTTAAAGTGACAAAGAAGCGGAAGTCCACAGTAAAGGGGTCAGAACACCTGCTGGCTTTGCACATCAGACTGACTGCAGCCTTAAAACCCACCCAGACATCAGCCTCGTCCCTCTCCCTCCCACCCTGCTTTGTTCACCCATCTCTTGTGCTGTGGGCAGTCATACGGCTTGACTAAATAAAAAAGGAACAACGAATCCACGTACCATTTCGGCAACGGTTCCCCACTCCGCTGCATACAGCTCTGTGGGAAGATTGTATATTCGCAGGGTGTTGTCTGCACTGTTGGTAAGCAGGCAAGTCCCATCAGGAGCCCTGGAGGAGGAGGAGGGAGGTGTCAGAAACACCCTGAAAGAGGGTCTTCCCCATCAAGGGGAGGTCCCCCTCCTGGCCCATCTCACTAAGCAACTGAGGTTGTTGAGGAGGGGAGAACCCTAACGCAAATCTGACAAGGCACGTTGTATTGCGATGAGGAATACAACCAGCAAAAGGGTGTTCCTCAAGCACTGCTTTTCATTCCCCTTGCCCTTCCAAACCAAGAATGATTTACAACAGTGTTTCTCAGCCTCAGCCACTTGAAGATGGGTGGACTTCAACTCCCAGACTTCCCCAGCCAGCATGAATTCTGGGAGTTGAAGTCCACCCATCTTCAATTGGCTGAGACTGAGAAACACTGATTTACCCAACTCAAAAATTCTGCCTTCAAGGCCTATATCTTCCTTTTAGAGTTTTTCACCTGTTTTTGACTGGAACTCAAGGGCTCCTGGGCCCTGCTCTGTAGAATTCTTCCTTCTCCAGTCTTCAACCCCTTCCCTCATAGGTACTCAGCTGTGGGGATGTTCTTCCCTATCAGCCTCCCTGCCAATCCCCTCCCTTTCTCTTATTCCCCACTTCACCCCACCTTCATGGCTGCTGAGATAGGTCTCAGATCCCTTGATCCCAGCTGTGCTTTTTCTGTCCAGTCCCACCCAAGGAGCAGGTTGGAGGTTCTCCAGCTGCGAGGACAAACACGACCGACCCCAACCCCGATCCAGAACAACAGGGAAGGTCCCTCTGCTTCCGTGGCCCAGGTGGCCTGCTTACCATTTGCAGCCCTTCAAGAAGTTCTCCGGGACCTGACTGTACTCTGCCCACGAGCCTGTCAGAAGTCGGGGGGCCTCCGAAAAGTCATATGCTGGAAAGCTAGGAGACAGGGAAATGCCAGTCACCCCTCCAGTGTTCCTCCCAAACTAATCCACCCTCCCCAGCTCTAATCATGCCATGCCTCACAACCACAGAGCTCTGGGCCCTTCCTCATACCCAGGAAGAGAAACTTGTTCCAAGATCTTCCTTTCCCCAGGACTGAGGAAGACCCAGGCGTCCTGCCTAAACGGAGCTGCATTTTATTCAGAACTGCAGTGAGCCCAACTCACTAATATTCTCCTCTGTCGGTCAGCGTTCCGCTTTCGTCACCCACTTCTTCCTTCTTCCCATTTTCCAGCCCTTCCTCAAAGTCCAGCACAGCGTCCTTGAACCTGGATTCTTCCTCCTCTCCGGAAGGTGCCTGGCCAGCAGTATTTTCATCTTCTTGAGCCCCGTTTAGCCTTGGCACTTTACAAGCTGGCCCAGAACTTTCTCCAGCTTCCTCAGAGTTGTTGGTTCGCTGTTGCAATTCCAGTACCACCCGACCCTCCGCAGACAATTCGGCTTCCATCACAAACACCTAAAAGGCTCTAACAGATCAGCCGCTAAGTGAGACTCTGCACAGACAGTGTTTATTTATGCACTGATCCCGGTTATGGCCAGAATTCCAGGTACAGCTTGAGGAGAGCGCAGACTCGGGTGCTTTACTCATCCCAGCGTAGGAATGGAATGGGGGCCAGGAGAAAGTGGGGTTTCTGTAGATTTAAAAAAAATGCATTAATGTTGAAAAATGTGTCCAAATTGAAGCAAGCTATTCTGGGTACAAGTATTCCAGACCACCACAGAATGCAGTAGTCTGATAAATGTTTCTTGTATTAATGAAGCAAGGAAATTGACATTTAAAAGCCAAAATACTAGACCCTCTAATACAGTTCATGCTGATGGCTGAGGACTGCACAGAAATTCCAGCAGGAAACTCCTACTTAGGTAGGGAGTCAAGTCCACACATCTTAAAGTTGCTGAGGTTGAGAGACGCTGGTCTAGATGAATAAAGACATCTCCTTTTAGAAGGCAAGAGCGTGGAGCCTTCATGGTGCGAGGACAACCTCAGCAGCCAGGCCGTTGGGCTCCAGGCCCGTGGTCTCCTCTCTCTTCCACAGAGCCCCGTCCTGCGCATGGCGGAAGGAGATACCATCTATGACTATCGCTGGTTCCCGCTGATGTATTCTTCTGACCCGCAGACTTGTTTGTAAAGCCATCTGCGTTCTCCTCCCGGCCTTGCTTTTTCTAAAACCAGCAGAGATACACACACATATTAAGCAATGAAACAGCCTCCTTCCTGGAGTCAGGGACTCCATCACTGGAGGTTTTCAAGCAAAGGTTGGACAGCCATTTGTCCGGGAGGGTCTCAGCATTCCTGACCTGGGCAGGGGTCGGACCAGAAACTCTCCGAAGTCCCTTCCCACCTTAGCTTCTATGATGAATGAAAATGAATCTGGGGTGAGAGAGGGAATAATTCTGAACAAACCAAATTTCACTAAAGCAACTACAATGCCTGAAGGAACAGAAGGGGCGCTGAAAGAGAAAATGTGGAATAACCCATGTCTTTTTAGGGGGAAAGGGAGAGAATGTTTGAGAAATTATCTTCTCAGTTCGGAGCAAAGTAGGAAGGAAAGGACTGGGACTCTGGTTGACGTAGAGGAGGATAGAGATGGCTTTGAAGAAAGATTCAGCGGCTGTTATGTCAACATCAGCTTAGCCTGGATAGACAGAAGAGGGTAAGGAAAAAAATCAAGATTGTCCCATCTTGGTTCTCTTAAGTATAAGAGGTGGCAGAGGGAAGCTATTTCAAGTTCCTGTTATGTTATACCCTATAACAGTGTTTCTCAACCTCAGCAACTTAAAAAAAAGCACCAAAATAAACAGACTTCACCCCCTGCAAAAGCTCTCCTATAATCTCCAACCCCCATTCCTTGCTCTCAGCTACACCCTGCACATTGATAAGGCGCTCAGAAGAAATGAAGGGGGGGCCTTCCTTAAATCAGTACCTTAAATTTATAATACTAAATGATTAAATAGTTTAATGAACTAATAAATTAAGGGGTGGCCATTGTCAAATAAATTAATTTATAATAATAAATGTTGAAATAGTTCAGTGAAATAATAAAATAAGGGGTGGCCATCATTAAATAAATTAATTTATAATACTAAATGATGAAATAATTTAATGAAATAATGCAGTATGGGGTGGCCATCGTCAAATAAATTAATTTATAATAATAAATGTTGAAATAATTAAATGAAATAATAAAATAATGGGTGGCCATCATGAAATAAATTTATAATATTAAATTATGAAATAATTTAATGAAATAATGCAGTAAGGGTCGCCCATCGTCAAATAAATTAATTTATAATACTAAATGATGAAATAATTTAATGAAATAATAAAGTAAGGGTGACCCCCATTAAAATTAAGCACCCAGGCCCGGCGTGCAGCGCAAACGGGAAATGACAGACACGTGTTTGGCTGCGCAGGGTCAACACGTGTCACCATCCCAACGATACAAATAGCGTAATACGTGCAGAATTGCGCAGCGCCATCAGAGGCGAGCTCCGGAGCTCCCCGCAGCTCCTTCCCCGGGAGGAGGAGGCGAAACGCGGCCCGCCATTTCCTTCCCTCCCGGAAGCTTCTTCCCAACGTACGGCTGATGGGCGGCGAAAGGAAGCCGCCATGACACTCCAGGCTCCGCCCTCCCCGGCGACGCCACGTCTCGCGAGAGTTGGAGGCTCTCGGGCGACGCCCCGTCTTTTGACCACAGAGAAAAGAAAGTTAAGAGTAGCCCTCCTGGAGGTCTAAGTTGGAACTTCCGGGTGCTGTCTTTAAATTCCTCCTTCCGCCCTTCTAGAGGAAAGTCAAAATTGTTCCCGGGAAGCAGTTGAGGATGCGAGACTTTCTTTGACCTGACTTCAGGTATTGGAAAGGGGCGCTACCAAGATCACCTCCGTTAAAGAGAGACCCGATCCCCTGCACAGCCCTGCAGTGTAGACCAAAATCTATGGCAGAGATGGGTGCGCCCCCTGTGGTCCATGCCCGGTTGGGCAAAAGTTCTGCAATCCTTCATTGCTCCCAACGGGCATCTCCCTGAGCCCCTGCAAGTCTGAATGATTAACAAAATACATTTATTTATTCATTTGTTTGTTTATTAATCACATTTATATGGCTGCCCATCTCACAAAAAGCGGCTCTGAGTGGCGTACAACAATCAATAAAACGACAAATGTATAAAAAGCAATCTTTATAAAAAATTAAATCATTACTGAAAATGAGAACCACTATTGAAAATCTAAAAATCAACCAACCAACCGGGGAGAGTAAAAAGATCAACCGCAGTGAATTAGGCAGGGTTCATGTTCCGCTTTGGTTTGTTTTAACGGCAGTGGTGAATAAACCACAATAACTGGGCTTGCACGGCGACCTTAAGCAAGCCAACCACAGCGTGGCTGAGTGTGTTGTGCAACTCTCGCCATGGTGTCACACACTCTTCCTTGCCCTGGATTTTCCCAAACTGCTGGACTCCGAGGCCCATAATCTCCGCCCTGAATGGCCAGAGGGCCCCTGGCTGGGGAAAGGGGCTGCAGATTCTGAGTGGACCCACTTGTTGCGCGTAAGAGCTCCCTGCCAGGGCCAGGCCTGGGCATTTGGTGGGGGGAGGCCGGTGACATCAGGTCAAGAGGAACTTTAATTTGGATTCAACCCCCCCCCTTTATTGGCCCGTCTGAACAATGGGCTGCACAGCAGAGCCGGAGAACTGGAAAAAGGGAAAACTCTGATTGCAGCGTCGTGCTACCATCTTGACTTTTTTGACCATGTCCTGCAGAAACTCAGTTGAACCGAGTCCTGAACTCAGGGGCAGCCTTAAACCAAAGAACCCGAGAACCAGGGTTTCTCTGTGGAGTCTCCCCTTCCATGGGTTCAGCTTCTGAGCCCTTTTTAAACGTAACTCCTGGTGCAAGCAGGGGGTGCAACCATGGGGGCTGCAGGGAAAGGGCACGAGGGACGACCTGCACATCACGACCGTGTGCAAGGGGCTCCAGTTACGTCGCTTGCACCGGCTGCCAACGTGAAGCGTGAAGCATCAGTGGGGCTCCCCCCATGCTGGCCAGCTGGCTGGGGAATTCTGGGAGCTGAAGTCCACACATCTTCCAGGGGCCGAGGCTGAGAAACCCGTGTTCGCTTGGCCTTCCTAGCAATAAAAGCGCAAGGCTGAGTTTCACGACGCACTTGACGCGTGGCCTTTCCCCCTGGCCGAGGCAACAGCCTTTCCGCCCGTCCTTCAGCTGGGAGAAAGCTGGAACGGCACGACGTTTGCCGCCCCACGGCCACCCCCTGTCCTGCCTCGACTGCTTCCTGTGGGCTGCCCCCCAACGGAGGCGTCCTCCTTCCACGGGGCGGGGTGTGCTAAGCGAGGGGCAGCCCCCCGCCAACCCCGGCACCGACGCCAGGGTGGTGCGGCCAGGGGCAGAGCGGGGGCTCGGCGAGCTTCGAAAGCAGGCGGACCCCCGCTCTCCTGCCTTCTGCTTCACGGCAGCCCGGCCTTCGTGCTCTTCCAGGACGGCGTCACACCTTCGCGGGCGCCCTGAAGTCCGACCTCTGAGTTTTGCAAGAGTCACAAGATGTTCGGGGGAGAGATGGGCTTGCAAATCTTGGCATTTTCCCAGCGTTTGGGTGATGAAAAAGACAAGAGGAAATGATGGGGACGCAGGAAGGCAGGGACGTCTGCAGGGAAGGGGTCAAAAAAAGGCCATATGTCAACACACATTAAAAAAAGGAGCAGGGTTTTGATTGCGGGGGGCACAGAAGCCATCTTGACTTGTTTGACCACCCGTGGGTGCCCCATTTCAGCATAATGGTGTTCTGAGGGATGTTCGCAACACGGTTCAGTGATGCAATCTGGGAAAGGCCCCCGATTAACTAAAATAACCCTTTCCTGAGTCTGCCCTGTAGCCTCAAGATAAACTCTCCAGGGTTGGTCCAAGCACGCTGGAAAAACCCCAGATCCGCTACCCACCTGAGGTTACAACTAATCAGGCTGGCATGCTCCACAAATGCCAACGTTGTGTCTTTACCTGGCCCCTCAAAGGCCCGTGCCGGTTCACCTGGGAAGGGTGCCCCAGAAGGGGGTCCTCCAACTGGCGTTATTCTGAGCAAGAGAGCCTCCGGACGGGGAAGGGCCCGAAGCAGAGCCGCGCGCGAAGGAGATCCATGCCAGAGAAAGTTAATTTGCAGCAGGGGTCAGCCCTGCCACCCTTGCCCTGCAAGGCGGGGGCGCACAATCCCAGCCCCATGGCACGAGGAACTGGGACAAAGAGCAGAGCGTCGCTTCTGCTCCATTGCGGGTCACGCCAGCTTCCTCCTCGGCAGCGCCTGAGGTCCCCCATCGATGGCCCTCGAGGGCAGGGGCCGAGCAATGCAGCCGAGCGGAGAGGACAGGCCGGCCACGGGGGCCAGGAGCAGGGCTGGGCTTTAAAGGGCCGGAGTCCAGCAGAGGAGCCACGGCAGATCCTCCGAGGCATCTTCCTGCAACCATGAGCTTCCTCGTCCGTCCTTGGGCCAAAAGGGACCTTCGGGACATTGCGCGGCTGGTTAGGGTGAGAAGCTGGGCGGCAGGGGGGCTGGGGAGGGGAGGCGGAAGAAGCAGTCGAGAGGGCCCCAGGAGGAAGGCGGGGGCCCGGGGACTGGCCTGTGGCTTGTAGGATCGAGACTGGATAGAGAGGGACGAGGGGTCTGGCAGTGCCACCTCCCTGCAGGATCCCAGATTGAGGAAGGCCATTTGGGGAATGTTCTGGGAAAGCTTTAAGGGCCACATTTACTTGCTGGGTGATTGATTGATTACGTGCCATTAAATCAGTGTCAGCTCTTAGTGACCACCTAGGTCAGTCTTTTTCACCCTTGGCGACTTGATGATGCGTGGACTTCAAGTCCCAGAATTCCCCAGCCCGCCAAACTTGGTCGGGGATTCCTGGAGGTGGAGATCAACCCCCAATAAATCTGCCAAGGGGGAAAAAAAAGAACAAAGTGGGGACA